CTTTGTTTTAATAGAAAGATTTTATAAATCTCAACCGATGATAGCACCAAGTGCCCGGGCAGTGAATGCTGGATGTTTCTGTTGTGGTAAGAGCCAGTTACCCTATTTACTATCATGAATGGATTGTTCCATTCATGATAAGTAGTCCTGGGTAAGTGTCTAAGAGAAATAAGATAATACTTGTCTAGCTGAGTATTAAATGCTGCTATGAAGACTGACTCTGTTGAGCTAAATTTTGTGTCTTGCCAGATCCCCACATCACAACAGTTTTATTATACCAATACTATATACTAAAATTTTAAACAGTATTGGTTGGTTAATACCAAACTTATTGTGAGAACATCGACCTATATTATTAATTATGACAGTTTAAACTTGTTTAAAAAGTTTTCCGTTGTTAAGCATTGGAATTGATTTGATTTTATTTTATTTATACTCTTGCCTCCAAGAATATTGCTAATGTAAATGTCTTTTGAAGAGGGTGAATGAAAGCTTTGTTGTATGAAAGGATAATGATTTCTCAAACAATCCAATCCAACGATCGAAAATGTGTCAGAAACTTAGAAAAGAATCGTATTATTGATTGTAATGTTTTGACCTAATGAAATTATTTCCAAAAGCAGTTTTTTTTTAAACTATAGACTTCATGAGAGATCATTGTATATTATTCATTTTGTAAATAAATAAAGAATAGAAATCGAACATAGAAGAATTATTGATGTATTTTTGAAAAATTCACATATAACAATTCCGGCCTGCCTGTCTGGAGTCAATCAGTAGTTACTGTTACGCAAGGATTATGTCAGATTTGCAAGATAATAATTCAAGTTTGGAATAAACATGTCATAATCATATGTTCCACTTCCTTTATCTTACGTTTCATCGTGATTACCTATTTATTATTTTGATAAATTCCAGCTTTGTGCTTTCTTTTCCCTAAAAACATCGTCTGCATGTCGAATATGTTGTTTTGCTTGAGATTATTAAAATGTAAACTTCAGGAGATACCAATTAAATAAACAAAACACAGCATCTTAACATTATTGATAGCTTTAGAAATGCCTCAAGTGTAGCGATTCCAGCCTGAATGCTTGAAGTCGAATGTAAGTAGTTATTATTGAGGAAATCTTATATCAGACTGTTAAGAGTTTATAAACATATGTGTTATTTCCTTTATCTTAATTACCTTTAATCGTGATCTTGCTTATCGTTTTTATATAGTTTCAGTAGAAACATTATGTTTTATTTTCCCTGTAAACAACTGATAGCTGCCCTAATATAAGGCCCAAGGGTCACCCAAAGCTACTGAGTGAGATTGTAAGGGAAGCGGGAAGTAATAGAGTGTTCTGACAACGAGTAGGATAGATATTGGTTGAACCTGGACTTAAAGAGACCAAAACATCGATAACAAGGAAGCAATCATTTAAAAAAAAATCTCTTCAATCCATGCTAGGCAATAAAGCCACTAAGACGCAGCGGAGTTGTTACTGGGTGTGAAAGAATATGAAAAAAAGAAAAAAAAAACATTATTAAGGAGCGAGAACAACAAAAGAAGAGGAACTAAGAAGACAGAAAATAAAGATTGACATTGCATTTAAATTTTTGATGATCAAACATGACTGGCAAGCAAGAAGCCGGAAGAGAGTTCCACATGCGAGAAGTGCGAGAGAACAGTCACGATAGATCTGACGGTTGCATGTAGCCATTTCAACTGTAAAAGGATGAGACTTGCAGCCAATCTGTTACTACGCCTAAATTCATAAAGTCTAGGTACCATGAAGGAATTTTAAAAATAAACATCTTATATATAAAGTACAATGTATGTGTATGTGCTTGTGCGTATGCTTGTCGAAGCAGCTCCCCCGTTCCCACTGGTCTGATTCCAATGATTCATAGCTCATACAAAAGCCCTAGAAAAGTTTTCGTTGAGCTCAGATTCAGGGTTGCCAGATTATGCGAGGTTAAAAATATATATTAATATATTATACTAGCCATTATCGTTGCTTTCATGGCTCAAAGGGAGTAACTCTTATTTTCCTTTTGTATCCAAAATTACAGTGCACTTTTTATTATAAACTAACTTGTGGAGGACACTTGGCTATCATCACATTAGCTAAGGAGGAGTAGATGCGATAGGCATCAATAAATTACAGAAGAACTCAAAATTAATCACTGCATTTAAGTACTGAATTAATGTTTAAGCTAACCTTTTAAAAGTTCAACGATAATTCTTCTGCTACCACTTAGTTCAAAAACGATTTGATGCAAGTAGATCCTTATTTTCCGTACAAACAATTATTTTTATTTCATGGATGATAGAACATGGTACAATTTATAAGCTAAAATTAATATAGTGTAAATATGGGAAAATAGAAATTAGAATTAGTTATACATTCAACATTTGAAGAGTTAGAGAAACATAATAGTTAATTAAGTAAAACCTATATTATGGAATATAATATATTAATTTAAGTGGCAGCAGAAGAATTATCGTTGAACGATCGATGAGCGAGAACAGTTCAAAAAGTGGAATCAAGATTATAGATACGATTGACATTGTAGTATCACCGGGTATTGAACTGTGCCACTGTGTTCTTGAGGACGCATGGCACAGTGGATAAAGGCGTTGGTTAGATCCAGTGACAGGACCCAAAAAGTGTGAGTTCAATACCCGGTTAAGGCAGTGGAGAACTTTCAAAGGGAAATTAACAGGAGATAACTGATAACTGACATCCATTAAACATGACACATGGAACTAGAACAGTCTACCCCAGTGAGCGAAATAAAGGGTTCAGTTCGACATTCGAACCATCTGAAGAAGGCTGGAGCGTACAACGGCCGAAACGTTGTGATAAATATGGCAACAATGATGAGTATCAATAGTCCGAATAATGTAAATAATGATTGACATTGCGCTTAAATTTTGGAAGATGAAAGTTGAGAGCAAATGAAAGAGTGACAATCCCTTCGCCATTGGAAGATTATCCCAGGCACAGAGGTCATGCCCATGAAAGCTAGAATCTATTTAGAAAAAAAGAAAGATAACCTGGAGCAGAGAATTCATTGGTAGCAATGGAAGAATTTAAACTGGTTTCACAAAATGCAAAAGTATCTGGTGACTGTTTCAAGAGAGGATTCTCTACTGCAGAAGTTGGAAGGATAACATGAATATTGGAGAAAGAAAGGTTGAGTGGGGGGAGGTGATTTTCTGTTTACTGGTTTTATCCTCTTTTCATTGTATTTGTCATGAGAAGAAAAGGAAAAGGCCAACATAATTATCACTATCTCTTGTCAATGGCAACACAAACCAGCCAGAATGTGTCCGAGACTAAAGCATAACGTGGCCTCTTTTTTATCATTTCACCGCAAGCAATCCACTATGACACAAGCAATCCCAAGACACAAGGGGTTACTGGGGATAAAAGAATTAGAAAAAAAAAACATTATTAAGAAGCAAAAACGATGCAAGAGATATCAAGAAGACTGTAGATAACGACTGGTATTGCATTTAAAGATCAAATTTGGCAGGGGTACAAGCAGCCGGAAGAGAGTTCCACACGTGAGAAGTGTGAGAAAAGAGATTGTAAGCAAAGAAAATACAGTTACATCTAGCTGTAAAACTTCAACTGTAAAATAATGAAACGTTTCCGCTAATCTAGTCAGTCAGTTAAGGTGATTTGACCCCCCCCCCAAACACGCACCTCATGGAGTCAGGTTGTGACACAAGGTCGTGTTTAATGTGGGAAACCCGACCGTGTACACTCGGGCTAAGAACAAAAACTCCCCTGAGCCTCGGTGCAATGAGAAGGTGCAGCCTCGGGCATCTGTTTCCCAGTACTCGGCACCTCACAGTGGGATTTTCCTCAGTTGTCCCTCTGTCCTCCGACGGAGCCGCAACCGAGTCGCACTCTTCCCGAAGAGAGAGATGTAACTGATCATGGGGGATCATGTATCATACGATACATGACTGACGAGGCAGATTTTTTTCCTGCAGTAGGTTGCCATTTCTTTCTGTGTTAGACTGATTGCCAACCAAGGCTAAAGAAACCAATCTGTCCTGTTGTTCAACCCATAGCTGAGAGGAGAAGAGATGGATTCATACCATACCAAATGTATTTGTGCGTAAGTGAATGGAACGAACCCAACTGGGATTCGAACTTGGCTCTCCGAGTTCTCACTCGGAGCCGATATCCATTACACTACATTATAAAATTATGAGACCTTGCCGCCAATCTAGTACTGAACTTAAATTCATAAAGCACCACATAGCAAAGTTCACCAGAAGAATAACCATGAAAGTATTTATAGAAAAGGCACAGGGAAGCTACATTACGGTAGTCGGGGTGTGACTGAAGACGAGATGCCAGATCAGGATCAATAACATTGCATATTCGTCTCTGGATTTTATCAAGAATTTCTAAATATATAGGAGAAACACTATACCATATGTGGCACAATATCTGAAGCATGGACGAATGGTAGACTTCTAAATATGTAAGATAGATTCTGGAGAGAAAAACTGACTAGCACGTCACATTGGACCAAATTTGCTTGCAGGAGACCTACCAATGGATTCAA